TTTGTATAGAGGGTTTAGTGCTATTGCAACTGACCATTCATTCTCACCGTGTTGTGTGGTTTTGAACTTGTGGCTTTTGAGTGGTGTCTTGATGTGAATTCGTTGAAGGAGCAAAACAGGAATAACAAAAGTTGATAAGACAAATAGAAGAACATGAAGCATACCAAACGCATATCGTCATACAAGCAAGAGAAATAGAATAAGGTTAAGAAAAGGTAGGCAATTTTATGAGTTTGTTTTGCTGGTTTTTGGGCTAATGTAAAAGTAGTTGTTTCACTAAAACTACATAGCTATGGAAGTGAAAGAATCTCTTGGGGAAATCTCAAACAAGAGTATCTCGAAATGTAACAAAAGCTCATTTCTTATTATTTCTTCATATTATTAACACTTGCTTGAGTTGTACGTATTAGAGAAATTTTGTGGAGGCCCAAGCCGATGATAGGATTTTTAGATCTTTGGATTAAAGAAATGGTGGAATGCTTCCTATGTTATTGTTGAACTCATCTCTGCCAAACCCGTTAGCACATGTATTTGTTTTCATTGTAGACCAATCCGATCTACAAGAAAAATAGATCAATTCAACAAGGGATCTGTGCAAAAAAAGTAAGTCACCGTGTTATATAGTCACCGTATAGTTGTCTTTAATGGCATATATATCCCTATCTTGCTATCTCGGCTACCTCATGGTTCCCTATAGCTATATCGTGTTTTTAGTTGGCATTCTTTATAAAACTCAAAGATTTGGTTTGCTTTCGGTCCATGTACATGTACTAACACCCGAGTTTGGAAAAATATCCACCCAAGATGAGCGCAAGGCGTATGTTGAGAAGCTTGATGAGACATGTGATAATAGCTCGGATTAGAAAGTTTTTCATAGAAAGAGTTCTTTATTATATTTTGTGATACAATATTTGGAAAAATCTATTTAACAACCTATTTCTTTTTTTTTTAACTTCATGATATTTTTTTATATTAATTTTTGTGTTTTATAAATTTAATATTATCTTCTGTTAAATCGTATAAAAAATTGCATATCACCTAATGCTACATAAAAAATATTAAATCATGCTTGCATATATATTAATTAAAATAATTTAATAAATAGTTTTGTCAGTTCTTAAGAACAAAAATTTGTTAAAAATATATGAATCAAAATAGAATTAAATTATAAATAGATAAGGTTTTTCACCCCGAAAAATTATGAAGTTTGAGTTGACCAAACCATTTTTACCCTTTAAAAATCTTACTCGAATAACAACATTATCCACGTTAGTATGCGTTTCTTTTTTCTCCTTGAAGCCAATTTCATATCCAAATGTCCTTTAACTGAGTGCGACGAATATTGAAAATAATTTTCATGGGAATTGAAGACTAGATCTTCTATTTCTNCAAAGAAATGATACAGACATACGATGAAATATATTTGTGCACTTAAGAAGAANAANTTGCAGGAGCTAAAAATAGATATTCAACCAATTTAAAAACAAAATACAAAAATGGACACAAATCTTATGCAAGAAGACAGCCGATAACATGTCTGAAAATCAGATATTATACATATGTGCAATGTATAGTTTAGTAGAACACATGAGATAGTGAACGAATTAGTTTGCTGTTAGTTCTCACCTCTTCTTCACAATTATTTTTAATGAAGAAATAAAAGACAATGAAGAAAAATCGATTTGATGATAACCGGTTAAAGAATCAAACAGAAGACAATATCATGATAGTTATTGAAAAAAATTTCAAAGCTGTTATCAAAAGTTCTATTTTTTAATAAAGAAATTCTTATTTTTGTTGTTTTAAAGGAACAAATTTTGTGACACATGTAGATTTGAGTTTATTTTTTGTAGTCTTGGCATTATAATATTTTCTAACTTTAAACCAATTTGCGTTTCTAAATTCAATAAATTTAGCTTTTTCTTATTTTATTTTTTTACTTTTAGGTTTTTATTATTATGAAATATTAAGAGACAAAGCCTTCCTCTGAACATATAAGATATCTTTAAAAGTAGAGGAATTATGAAATAAATTGGTT